CTGGAGCCCAGCAGGTCGAGGCTGTGGTGGCTGGGAGCGTGCCACTGCACTCCAGTCTGGATGACAGAGTAAGACTCCAACTCAAAAAAAAAAAAGATTTTCTTTATATGAATTGTATGACCACATTCTATTGCAGGATTTGCTTATAGAATACTGAGTATCACATGGTTAGATTAGTATCCCCATGTCATTGTAGTGAAATTAAAAAATGATACACCCTTTCAAGAAAGCAGTTTGACGGTATGATACCCCAAGCACCTATGTTCAAGAAATATATGATTTGGCCAGGTGCAGTGGCTCACACATGTAGTCACAGCACTTTGCAACGTGGCAGTATTGCTTAAGCCCAGGGGTTCAAGGCCAGCCTGAGCAAGACAGTGAGACTTCATCTCTACACACACACAAAAAAAATTAGCTGGGCATGGTGATCAGTCTGCAATCCTAGCTACTCGGAAGGCTGAGGGAGAAGGATCACTTGACCCCTGAGGTTTGAGACCTCAATGAGCTGTGATCATGTTACCATACTCCATCCTGGGCCACAGACTAAAACCCTGACAAAGAAAGAAAAGAAAAGAGGGAAAGGGAAAGAGAAAGGGGAGGGAAGAAGGAAGGAAAGAAAGAGAAGATTTAAAGTGTCTTTCTCTTTAGACGGTCGTGGTAGCGTGCGCCTGTAGTTCCAACTACTTGGAAGGCTGAGGTGGAAGGATCACCAGAGCCCAGCAGGTCAAGGCTGTGGTGGCCAAGAGTGTGCCACTGCACTCCAGTCTGGGCGACAGAGTGAGACTCCAACTCCAAAAAACAAAACAAAACGTATCTTTCTCTATAATGTTCATCTTCCAACCAGAGCTGATCCAACATGTAAGAGGAACTAGTGAAATAGAAAATGGTTCCTATCCCAAAATAATGTGTGTGCACTTTATAGCATTTTTTACAATTGTAGAAATGAGAATGTAATAGAAATTACTCCTCTGCTTTAGAGAATTGATGCTCTTACTTAAAATACAAATATGCAATCTGAGGGCCAATACTAAACACCCATTACCAAAGCTAATGGTGGGGCACTAGTTGGGAAAGCAGCTCCAGATGGGTCCCCAGGCAAGGTACAGACCAGCAGACAGATTCGCACAGAGGGCAGGTCTTGAGTTTCTGCCAAGTCCCTTTTAGACCTGGAGTAGACAAAACTGTAAGGTGGCACCAAAATTCTCTGTCCCTGTTGTATCCACAATTTCTCCTAGTTATTCAAACACTATTCTAAGTGCTGTATGAAGGGACTCTACAGTTGCAATGAAGGTCTCAAGTCCATTGACCTTAAGATAGGGAGGTTATTCAGGTGGGCCTCACCTAATCACGTGAGACTTTAAATCTGTGATTAAGGGTCAAATACAAGGGAAGTTCAAGACGTGAAGCCTGAGGAGGATCTAGCATATGAGGATTCTCAGTTGCTGGCTTTGCAGATGGAGGGAAGGAGTACAGGTGGCCTCTAGGAGCTGAGCATAGCCTGGGGCTGACAGCCACCAGGAAACAAGGACCTCAGTCCCACAGCTGCAAGGAACTAAGCTCAGCCAATAAACCGAATGAGCTTGGAAGTGGGTACTTTCCCAGTCTCCAAAGGAACACAGCCTGCACTTCTGACCTACAGAACTGTGAGCTAATACATGGGTGCTGTCTTAAGCCACAAAGTTTGTGGCAGTTTGTCAGGCAGCAATAGAAAACTCATAATACCCTGTCCCAGCCGAAGTGAAAATTCAATCTTATTTCCTCAGCATCCTACTGCTCAGTGAAATAAGGCAAGTTAGGTAAGATGGTTCTCCTGCAAAGTAGAAATCACAAAATGAGGTGTGCAAAATGTCCAGAAGAAAGTTCTAGTGAAGAGGGCCAGGAAGAGCCACTACTTGCCTCTGTGAGCTGTTGGCGTAGTTGTTCCTCAGTGAGACCCAGTGATCTCATCCCTCGGGCCCTACAGGCAGCCTGGAGTTCCAACACACTCAAAGCCCTCACCCCTTCTTTGGCAATTATCTGAAAAAAATGCAAGAAATGGTGTTGGAGCTTTTGAGTTCAATGTTACCTAATCCCTAAATTCCAGCAAATCAGTGGAGACAGAATTGGATGCTTTGGCACTTGGTCCCCTGCATTGACTGTTGCTGCAAAGGCCAGGAGTCTAGACAAACAAGGTGACTTAGAAAGGTAGCAGTTGAAATAAGGGGAATCCTGCCAACAGGTATTATTAATACTACAGGGATATTTTCGTAACTCCTCCCCAACATTCTGTCACCAAAATAATTCTTTCCCCTCTTGATCTGCATTTTGCCTGGTTATGACATGGTCTCCTTCTTCTTCCTTCCTTTAAGGTTCATTTTCACTCGAAAAGCTTTCAATGGACACTTTGTTGCAAGTCCCAGTAGTGTTCTTCTTCCCCACTGTCCTTTTCCAACAGCCTAGGAATGGCCCTGGTCCACAAAACTCCCTTAATAAATAACACAGTTTCTGCTTGGTGTGACCCAAAACAATGGTACTTCTGGGACCGGTATTGTTTACTCCAAAGTTCTAAAAGCAACAACTGAAATCTAAATGGGACCGATGGGATCATGCTTTCTCAGTTCTGGGAAACTTGCTCCCTCAGGCAGAATGCTTTTAAAGCAGCTGATTCAGATTCAAGAAACATTCCTTCCACTTTTTTTAAAGGAGCCTAATTAGTAGCTATAGTCCATTGGTGCCTTTCTTCCATGAGCTGTCAGGCTCTGCTTTTCCTCTCAGCATTATGCTTGGCCACCCCTTCTTACCAGGCCAACTCACCCGCAGAATACTGACTTTGGCACCAGCTCCTCGGTGGGGAGCAGAGGTGTGGGGTTAGAGCTTCCACAGGAATCTACTGAGCTGCTATTTCCTTCCCAGCAGGTCCTAACTGCTTTAGATTAGTCCCACAAAGACATCCAAATTACTAACTGCTTATGATGGCCTTCTCAAGAAAAGGGGTCAGGGTATGACAAACAAATCCTAAAATGAGTAATCAAAGTTCAAGTCATAGTAATGGCAGTTTATACCACTCATTTTGCCAGAGCCTATCCTTGACCAGACCCAACAGAAAATACCACACTCAACCCACAGGTACCCTGAGGTAGCTCCCAGTGCCTTACTAATTCCCTGGCTGTGGTTAAGCTCTTACTTCATCGTCTGCTTTTATAGACTTCAGTCTCATCAGGAGCTGAAAGCGGAGCAAATTGTTAGTTCCAAAGGTCTGCAGTTCTAGCAGTTTGCAAAGGGCAACTAGCTGACGTCGATCTAAGTGCTCCAGGGCTAGCTGATCCTCAAACAGTTTAGAAAACCGAACGATCTCCTTTGTGCTGGGCTTGTGGCCTGTCTGGACCTAGGCAGTGGGACAAAGAGGCTAATTAAAATGTATTTCCTATTTAATTTGACCTTCCCAGTAGATTATTTGAAAGAGACATCAGCCGAACTCGGTGGCTCAGCCTGTAATCCCGTGCCTTTGGGAGGCTGAGGTGAGTGGATTGCCTGAGTCCGCGGGTTCGAGACCCGCCTGGGCAGCAATACCTCATCTCTACAATAAATCAAAAAATCAGCTGGGCGTGGTAGCGCGCGCCTGTAGTTCCAGCTACTTGGAAGGCTGAGGCGGAAGGATTGCCGGAGGCCAGCAGGTCGAGGCTGCGGTGGCCAGGAGCGGCCACTGCACTCCAGTCTGGGCAACAGAGTGAGACTCCAACTCAAAAAAAAAAAAAGAAAGAGACATTAAAGCATTCATGGACTCTATCTGATGTCTGGAAATGGGCCCTCTGGTACAAAGAAGAGTCAAGAAATCTGGCTGAAGTCCAACTATATCAGCTGAAAAATCAGGAGTAGTTCAGAAGTTTGACTCTAAATCTACTGTTATTTCCGAAAGATTATCAACATCTTTAACACATTGATTAACATAGGCTTTTCTGCAAAGTACCACAAATGTTTACAATATTAAATGCTCAGTATTGTATATCTACAGCTTAGAGATGTGCTGTTTCTTTTATTTTTTTGAGTCAGAGTATCACTCTGTCACCCAGGTTGGAGTGCAGTGGCACACTCACGGCTACCACAGTCTCGACCTGCTGGGCTCAGGCAATCCTTCCACCTCAGCCTTCCAAGTAACTGGAACTACAGGTGTGCACCACCATACCCAGGTAATTTTTTTTTATTTATTGTGGAAGTGAGGTCTCGCCAAGTTGCCCAGGCTGGCATCAAATCCCTGGGCTCAGGCAATCCTCTCGCCTCCGCCTCCCAAAGTGCTAGGATTACAGACGTGAGCCACTGCGCCCAGCAAGATGTGCAGTTTTGAAGATTGTGAACAATTTGGAAGATCCGTGCTGACATGCATCTTTTCCATAACTCCCGGCCCAGAAGTCATCTGGTGTCTTATAAAAGACTGACACCTGTTTCACATAGGATGAGAGCTGTGAAGAGGCATCCCCCAATTTGGCTTTGTTCCTCCTAGCCATTTCTGTCATGGTTTCTTGAAGAAATGTTGCTAGTTCCAACTTCACAGCCATTTTCTTTTTCTGTTTTTCTTCCTTAACAGTAGAAGAGTAAAAAGTTAATCAACCCTTCATGATGGCAATTGGTAGATAAATATGGGAGAAAAATAACTGCTACCTTATTATTCATCCCAATATCATGTATTACCATTATGTTCAGGCCTAATCGAGTACGTTTGTGAGAACTAGAGCAAAAAAAAAAAAAAAGAGTAGTCTCTATGTGGATCTTGTCTCCTTAATTTTACCTTTTATTTCTCACTAATACAACGATTATAAGCATTTGACAGATCCAAAATGTCCCCTCAATGGGTGGCTTTGCCATACTTGGAATGAGGTTCTACCTCTTAACCTGATATAAACCACCGAGGCTGCTAGTTGAGCCAATACTTTGTCTAAAGGGCCCTGTGTTTTGCTTTACAAACAAAGAAAACTAGGAAATGAACTTTAGCATAAAGTGTCCTGTGGTTTAAATACAGATATAATTAACTATAATACAGTGAGTTAAGTGCTTTAACAGACATAAACAATGCACTGCACAGAAGAGAATGAAATATACTCTTAAGACACCATGTTGGCCAGGCACGGTGGCTCACTCCTGTAATCCTAGCACATTGGGAGGTGGAGGTGAGAGGATTGCCTGAGCCCAGGGGTTCGAGACCAGCCTGGGCAACTTAACAAGACCTCGTCTCTACAATAAATTAAAAAATTAGCCAGGCATGGTGGAGCACGCCTGTGGTTCCAGTTACTTGGAAGGCTGAGGCAGAAGTATCGCCTGAGCCCAGCAGGTCATGGCTGCAGTAGCCATAAGCGTGCCACTGCACTCCAGCCTGGGTGAGAGAGTAAGGCTCTGACTCAAAAACAAAAAAGATACCATGTTGACCAGCACTTCTTAATCCTTGTTCATCATCAGAAATGTAGTATGGTAGCATTTTCAAAATAACCATGATCAGGACTCAGGGTGGGTAGAGAGGAACAGAAATTTCTATTTCCTAAGTTGCCTAAGAAATTCTAATGATCAGTCAATCATAGGAGTCATTGATTTTTAGGGAGCTCGTAAAAGAATCAGGCCAAAAAAAGAAAAAAAATCATTGGTCAGAACCCATTTAGTTATCCATTTCATTCATCCATATCCTTTCATCCATCTATCTATTTATCCATTTATTGTGCATCTACCATGTACTAAGTACTGAACTGTGGATAAAATGAGCAAAAACAGACAAGAATCCCTGACCTCATAGAACTTCTAGTTTAGTGGGAGAGACAAGCACTGATAACCAGTAATTCTACAAAATCATGTAAAAGTATAACAGATAAGTGCTATGAAAGAGAAATGCCTGGTACTTACTGTGATGTGATATAAACAAAAAGCTCTCCTGAGCCTCTCTCTCCATGGAACAAAGCAAACAAGAAAGTATTGTCTAAGACTGTGACCATGTTGAATATATATGTTAGTTTGGGAGGAACAAGTGGTGTTCAGGAAAGGTAATATTTAGGAAAATCACTTCCTCTATTCTCCCTTCTTCCTATATGCACTAACACTTTCCTTGGAATCTGTGGTATTAATTCTAGAGTCTGATTATTTTTATTTTTTTGAGTTGGAGTCTCACTCTGTCACCCAGACTGGAGTGCAGTGGCTGCTCCCGGCCACCGCAGCCACGACCTGCTGTGCTCCGGCGATCCTTCCGCCTCAGCCTTCCAAGTAGCTGGAACTACAGGCGCGCGCTACCAAACCCAGCTAATTTTTGATTTATTGTAGAGATGAGGGCTCGTCAAGTTGCCCAGGCGGGTCTTGAACCCACGGGCTCAGGCAATCCACTCACCTCAGCCTCCCAAGGAGTGGGATTACAGGCTGAGCCACCGAGCCCGGCCTGATTACTTTAAATGTAAGTAAACTAAGCTATTGTCAGGCAGTCAAATCATGCAATCTGATTTTACCTTTTAAATGTCTCCCAAATCTGTCCTCAAGTTTTATTCCTACTGCCAATTTCATAATGTAGTCTCAGTCATCTCTCCCTTGGACTACTGCAATAGCATTCCAGCTGATTTCCCTCCTTTGGCCCTGTCCTCTTCATTCCTTCCTCCTGCAAAATTCTTTTTCTTTTTCTTTTTTTCCAGTTGGAGTCTCACTCCGTCACCTAGGCTAGAGTGCAGTGGCACGCTCCACCTGCTAGGTTCCAGTGATCCTTCCGCCTCAGTCTTCCAAGTAGCCAGAACTACAGTCGTGCACTACCACACCCAGCTACCATGCCTGTAATTTTTTGATTTATTGTAGAGATGAGGTCTCGCCAAGTTGCCCCGGTTGGTCTTGAACCCACAGGCTCAGGCAATCCTCTTACCTCAGCCTCACAAAGTGCTGGGAATACGGACTGAGTCATTGAGTCCAGCACAAAATTATTTTTCTAAGACACAGATCTAATGATGTTGCCCAGACCAGCTTAAAATTTACCTTCCATTATTCACCATGGTCAAAAATAAAGTCTAAGTTCCTTCAGCTGGTAGATGCTTTCCAACCTGACCTTAACACATCACCTTGGTCTCTTTCCTGCCCTTGATCTGCTGGTACTCCCTACTCCAACCAAAAAGAAACCAGTCAGCCGGGCTTGATGGCTCAGCCTGTAATCCCACACCTTGGGAGGCCGAGGTGAGTGGATTGCCTGAGCCCGCGGGTTCGAGACCCGGCTGGGCAACTTGACAAGACCTCATCTCTACAATTAATCAAAAAATTAGCTGGGCGTGGTAGCGTCTGCCTGTAGTTCCGGCTACTTGGAAGACTGAGGCGGAAGGATCACCGGGGCACAGCAGGTCGAGGCTGTGGTGGCCGGGAGCGACCACTGCACTCCAGTCTGGGCAACGGAGTGAAACTCCAACTCAAAAAAAAAAAAGAAACCAATCAGTGGCCTCTGACTATATCATACTCCCCCACACTGTTGAGCCTTTTTTTTTGAGTTAGAGTCTCACTCTGTTGCCCAGGCTGGAGTATAGTTGAAGTGGCATGCTCACAGCCACTGTAGCCTTGACCTGCTTGGCTCAGGTGATCCTTCTGCCTCAGTCTTCCAAGTAACTGGAATTACAGGTACGTACTACCATACCCAGCTACTTTTTGGATTTATTGTAGAGATGAGTCTCTCCAAGCTGCCCAGGCTGGTCTCAAACCTGCGGACTCAGGCAATCCTCTCACCTCTGCCTCCCAAAGTGCTAGGATTACAGGTATGAGCCACCACACCCAGCTTGTTGAGTCATCTTAAGTGCTATTCTTTTTATCCAGAATACCTATCAGACTGATAAAATTCCACTGAGGGTAAGTCTCAGTTCCAAATTAGCTCACAGAAACCTTTCCTAATCTTACTGATTTAAAAGTTGCCCTCCTTGTTCTCTCATAAAGTTTTGTTCATATGTTCTTCAGACTATATGCTGTTGAGAGGAGAGTCACAGCATGCAGGGAATGAAGGAGCTGCCTCTGTTTTCCAGCCCATCACCCTTACAGTGTTCATCAAACTCAATTAGGGTGCCCTCTCAGGGGCTACTCAAGGGTCTGTTTAGTTGGCTAAATCATACCTACTATCCAACTCGTCACTGCAGTAACAGCAAATTTTTTTGTTCTTTATTTTTTTTAATGGTTAAAAACAAGTTAGGATTCAGTGGAGAAGGGATAGTCTTTTCCACAAATGATGCTGGAAAAACTAGATACCTACATGGCAAAAAAAACAAAACTAAACTAAACACTGACATTACACTTTTTCACAAAAATTAACTCAGAATGAATCACAGACCTAAATGTAAAATGCAAAACCGTAAGACTCCTAAAACAAGAGAAAAATCTAGGTGACCTTGGGTTTGGCAATAAATTTTTAGCATTTAAACACAAAAAGCATAATCTATGAAAGAAAAAATCAGTAAGCTGAGCAACATTAAAGTTAAAAATGTTTGCTCTGTGAAATATACTGTTAAGTAGGCCAGTCTCGGTGGCTCAGCCTGTAATCCCAGCATTTTGGGAGGCTGAGGTGAGTGGATTGCCTGAGCCCACGGGTTCGAGACCCGCCTGGGCAACTTGGCAAGACCTCATCTCTACAATAAGCCAAAAACTAGCCGGGCGTGGTAGTGCACCCCTGTAGTTCTGGCTACTTAGAAGGCTGAGGCGGAAGGATCAGCCAGCAGGGCGAGGCTGCAGTGGCCGGGAGTGTGCCACTGCACTTCAGTCTGGGTGACAGAGTGAGACTCCAACTCAAAAAAAAAAAAAAGAAATGAAAAGATAAACCACAGACTAGAGGAATATATCTGGAAAATATATATCTGATAAAGGACTTTTATCCAAAATTGCATAGACTCAAAATAACAATAAGAAAACAAACAGCCAGGCTTGGCATGGTGGCTCACACCTGTAAATCCTAGCACTTTAGGAGACAGAGGTGAGAGGACTGCCTGAGTCCAGGGTTCAAGACTAGCCTGGGCAACTCCACAAGACCTCATCTCTACAATAAATCAAAAACTTAGCCAGGCTTGGGGGCGTGCGCCTGTAGTCCCAGCTACTTGGAAGGCTGAGGTGAAAAGCTCGCCTGAGCCCAGCAGGTGAAGGTTGTGGTAGCTGTGAGCGTGCCACTGCACTCCAGACTGGATGACAGAGTGACTTGAACTCAAAAAAAAACAATGAAAAAGTGGACAGCTGGGCTCGGTGGCTCAGCCTGTAATCCCGCGCTTTGGGAGGCTGAGGTGAGTGGATTGCCTGAGGCCGCGGGTTCGAGACCTGCCTGGGCAAGTTGACGAGACCGCGTCTCTACAATAAATAAAAAATTAGCCGGGTGTGATAGCATGCACCTATAGTTCAGGCTACTTGTAAGGCTGAGGTGGAAGGATCGCTGGAGCCCAGCAGGTCGTGGCTGCAGTGGCCGGGAGCGTGCCACTGCACTCCAGTCTGGGTGACAGAGTGAGACTCCAACTCAAAAAAAAACAGTACCACACTAATGTAAGATGTTAATTATAGAGGAATCTGTGGCAGGGGAGTGGGGAGTGATATGTGAAAACTCTGTACTTTTTGCTCAATTTTTCTGTAAACCTAAAAACTAAAAAATCAAATTTATTAATTTCTTTAAAAAGTTAAAATATCCTACATACCTTTTTGGATTCACTTTCAAAAGTTGATGGCAACATCTCTGGGAAGAGTTTCAGGAAAACTGGCAATAAGAATTCCATGAAGGGTACAATTATGAACACCATAAATGGAACCAGGCGGAAGACATCAGCACAAGTTCTTAACAGCTAAAGAATGAAACACATATGTAGTATTCATTATTTTAGGACATGCCAAAAACACAAACACGAAAAAGTGTGCCTTGAGTTAGTTTATTTTTTTTCTTTTTTTTTAAGGTTGGCCTCTAATTCCTGGGCTCAAGCAATTCTTCCCCCTCAGCCTCCTGAGTAGTTGGGACTACAGGCATGCACACAGTGCCTGACTGCCTTGGTTCTTAAGATGTTAAAAACCTAAGACAGGTTTTTTGCAGCTATTTATAAAATAAAAAGGCGGGCTTTTACTGTTTACCATAGCTCTGAAGTAATATTTATGGAACATCGTCAAGAAAATCTGTGACAAACAAAACATATTATTGGCATCTCTTAGCTTTTATCTAAGTTGAGTGGTTCATATTTTAATAATATATTATCTGCCAAAATTTGTTTTTAAAATGTGTATAATTTGCCAAGGCACAGTGGCTCAAGTCTGTAATCCCAGCACTTTGGGAGGCCAAGGCGAGAGAATTGCCTGAGTTCAGGGGTTCGAGACCAGCCTGGGCAGCTTGGCAAGACCTCATCTCTATAATAAATCAAAAAATAAGCCAGGCGCGGTAGCACTCGCCTGTAGTTCCAGCTACTTGGGAGGCTGAGGCGGAGGGATTGCCTGAGCCCAGTAGGTCAAGGCTAAAGTGGCCGTGAGCATGCCAATGCACTCCAGCCTGGGCAACAGAGTGAGACTTTGACTCATT